TGATTAGCCACTGAACTCTGCATATACAACATTTTTTATTTTATTTTATGTTGCTTTACACAGTCAATTGCCTTTTGGAATTATTTCCTACAATTCTCAGATGATATGACATGCTGTGTGTACTTAATTGTGCTCAAAAACCATTCACGTGGCCTCCATTTCCCAAGCGAGTGAAATTATATACTTATACCATATCTGTAAATGTATTTGTTTTACTTAAGATCACTTATCATTTATATTTTTCTTTAGAGCTGTAATGCACTCCAGAATCTGACAGATTGATTAGCTGTAGGCTCTAAAACAGTGGTTCTCAAACTGTGGTACGTGTACCACTAGTGGTGCGCGGGCTTCCCACTAGTGGTACGCGGAGGAATGAAATATGTCATGTACATGCTACATATATTTCAAAATTTATCAAAAGTCATGTATATAATATGCCATATATGACATATAGCCTATATTTCTAAGGTAATCTGCCACTTTTTTTTTTTAACTGTGCAGAGTTGTAGCTGCTTTACTGGGCCTACTACGCTACTGTATTTCAATACTGCTCATTTTGGTGGTACTTGGAGAGACAATTTTTTTCTAAGGTGGTACTTGATGAAAAAATTTGAGAACACTGCTCTAGAACAATATATTGAATATAATTGAATATACTAACACAGACTATATTTGAAATATTTGGAAGTAATTTGCGTTTTCCACCTGTAGAAAAGCGTCATAAGAACAATGTTTAGTGGCTTAAAGTTTTACAACAGTGTTTTTAAAGCACTAAACACTTTATTGATATAGCACATAGCCAAGCACATGTGGTCAGAACACAAACGAATCACAGGTAATGAAGAATTAAGCATTTTTCCCAAAGAAAATTCTGTCTAAGCAAAATGCTAGCGTGTGTCTGTAGCTCCACCTCTTTGCCCTTATTTGGTTACCCCCCGTTGGAGCAATGACGCAAGAACAAAATGATGCTGTTTGGCCACGCCCACTTGTTGCTTCTTTTGCGCCTTTCAGAAACGTATAGGGGATGTAACAGATATGACGTCCATATCTTTTAGTCTATGGTTTACACATGCTTTAGTAAAAAAATTATGGAGTGAATAATTAGTTAATGAAAATATAAGGTTTACATTCAGAGAAGCAGATTTTGTGCATACTGTATGAACTGCATACATTTTTTGTTATTCACATATACCCATAATAACCAGGTTTTGTTAAATTAAAGAATTTTAGATTTGCCCAACTTAGAATTACACATGTTAAAAAACAATGAAATATTTAAATTTTTCATTATCAATATGGTATGTATGAAACGTGGTGTCATTTTTTTATTATAAAACTAAAAGTTTCTGTTTATCTCAAATTAAAAGAGTTTAATTTCTGTTCTACTTAATGTGTTAAGATTTATATAAAAAGTTTTGTCAAGTAATTACTTCTTGAGAAATAGTTTACATTTCAGACAAAATAATTAGAAAAGTATTAAAATACAATTCTAATGAATAATAGCCAGTAATTAATTACTTGTTGAAGTAGCTTACCTGATGCTGCATGCAATGATTATAAACATACACAATCTACAAAATGTCAAAGTGGACTTTATTCTGAACCCCTTAAAAGGAGTGTCAGTAATTTCAGTCCTCCTGCAGAAAGCTAAACTAAGAAGTACTAAGTCTGGAACAAATTTACATAATACCAGCTTATGCTTTTTTAATGGCTGCCATTGAACACTTTCCTCTTTTACCCTCAAATTTTGTAGTTGCAGTTTAAAACTTGGAAGAGTGACGCTGATATGCTGAGCAGTTTTTTTCTGCTACAGTTACAGTTTGTATCGCTGTGAAATTCAAATGTGATTTTGTGTCCAAGGCCCCATTGTTGATCTGATCACAAGGTGATGACATTAAAAACAGATAAGGCTGGCCATTAAATCAATAACATTGGTTAATATTGATAAGAACCACAGTGCAGTAAATATCAAATCTATTTCTTTCCCATTTAAAGGCAGATATTTGCTTCTGAGTCGAAACTGTAGAAGCCAGGCATTTAATTTTTAATTTAAATGTCTTTTTACTGTCCGAATATGACAAACACTGAGAAGAATATGGGAAATCTGAGGTACAAGAACACAATTTACACTGTTTGAAAAAATAAAAAACTTTTCTGTCTTTCAAAATCAAGCATGTAGATCACCATAATTATATACTTAAAATCTAAACATTACCCTTTTGAAAAGTAACAATGTGGTTTCTAAAATATGAAAAATAATAACTTAACCTGAGCTAACATCAAAACAAACATTAATTTGTAAAATGTTTACCTGCTTGGTGAATATTTGTTCAAAAAAGTAGTTTCATAAGAAAACCATATTAACTTTTTATAGCTTTTGTCCATTTGTCTATTTTGTCCATTTAAACAAAAAAGATTTGAACTTTATATCATGATTGCTGATACAAAAAGTTGATTGAGCCATTTCTTTGGTCAAATCACACAGTCCTAAATACAAAGAAATGGATGATTCTAAAGTGTTTTGAGTTTGTCCACTTTTGATCACTACCAGAGCAAGTTGAAATTGCATTTGATTGGATTGCTTTCGAAGTGTAAATGATTATTTGTGTTCAAGCTGTTACAAAAGACCATCTACTCTCTGTTTCCGGGTCCAAGTCGCTACTCATTTGATTTGAGAAAATATTTGTTTAAGGCCAGTAAAGTGAATTTTATATAAAATCATGGTGTACACATCAGTCTCTGGACTTGCTGCATCACAAATACCAAAATTTTAACAATTTATAAAAAATGTATAACTTACTGGCCATCAGATATTAGGCATGGATATACAGTTGAAGTCAGAATTATTAGCCCCACTGAATTATTAGACCCCCTGTTTATTTTTCCCCCCAATTTCTGTTTAATGGAGAAAAGATTTTTTTCAACACATTTCTAAACATAATAGTTTCAGTAACTTATTTGTAATAACTGATTTATTTTATGTTTGCCATGATGACAGTAAAGAATATTTTATTAGATATTTTTCAAGACACTTCTATACAGCTTAAAATGACATTTAAAAACTTAACTAGGTTAATTAGGTTAACTAGGCAGGTTAGGGTAATTAGGTAAGTTATTGTATAATGATGATTTGTTCTGTAGACTATCGGAAAAAAAAATGCTTAAAGGGGCTAATAATTTTGTCCTCAAAACGGTGTATTAAAAAATTAATAACTGCTTTTATTTAAGCAAAATAAAACAAATAAGACTTTCATTAGAAGGAAAAAATATTATCAGACATACTGTGAAAATTTCCTTACCTTGATAAACATAATTTGGGAAATATTTAAATAAGCGAAAAAAAATCAAAGGGGGGGCTAATAATTTTGACTTCAACTGTATATATTGCAATTGTGATTTTCTAAAGTATTACTTCACTCAATAAATGTTTATTATTACTATTTGATGAGTCTCCCCATACAGTTTGATAGAGTGCTTGGACCCGAAAGCCCCTTTGCATGACGTCACACATAACAAGCGGATTATGGGATCTGTTGTTAAAAAGTGCACTAATTCAATGATTTTATTAACAAAGTACATTGATAATTATCAAAACTGTATAATAATAAGCCACATAAAAAGATACAGAAAGATATAAAACATCTTATATTTGATATAATATCTTAAATAAAAGGTATTCATCCAAACTAGCTTTAAGTGGTAGACTAATTAATGGACTATCTTCAAATCAGAGCAAAGCAGGCTCTGAAAATCAGAGCAAAGCAGGATAAGCAGGGTTTAGATCAGAGATACCCAAACTAGGGTCTGCAGGCCATAGTTGGCACATGGTAACCTTTGATTTGGCCCATGATGCCATCTGAAGAGAGGATGGTTTAAAGACTGCCATTACATGTTTAATTTAACCTTTTATTTGTTTGTATCATTGTTAAGCTACAAAAAAAGCTAACTGAAATGAAATATTTAAATTTAAATGGTAGAAATTAATCAAATTTAGTTTAAAATGTACATATTGTCACCCAATGGAAAGAGGACTTTGGTGAGCAAATCACAGCAAAGGCAGATTGTGTTTTTATTATAATAAGTTATAACTAAAAAGTTATACTGCATTAGTTAATACCATTGAAATAATATTTTATATTTATTTTTAAATATTATAAAATGGTTTAGGAAATTACCCTATAGCAACTTTAATGTAAAATAGTTTGGTATATTTATCTGCGGCCAACGACTATCAAAAATATTGCAATCAAATGTATTTTTCATATGAAAAGGTTTGGGCACCCCTGGATTACAGAGACCATCGGTGCATCCAAAATTGTAGACTTCTTCTATAATACATAGTGTGTAGAAAAAAGTAAGTAAGCTGTCTGAATTCATAGCATTGGAAAAACAGTAGGTATGAAGTACTTGGACGTCTTACTAATTTCTGCAAGATTCTAAAGTGCACAATGGACAGTTTACTGTCTTAAGGCCATAGGAGAGAACTTATAAATGGGAGCAAAGCGATGCAAATGATACGGTTAGGTCATGTGATAATGATTAATGACAGTGCGTCCAAATTCTATTTATACTACTCATATTCATACTATATATGTGGAACATACTTTTCTAATGTCTGTAAAGTAAATTTACATTCAAATGTAGTACCTACCAGACTAGTATGCGATTACTGACGCAGCTCCGATCTTTGAACGAACTAAATTAGACAATGTGAGGGAGTAGAAGTTATAAAACTAGTGTTTTTTAACATTGGGCGTTATTATTGTAGATGACCTTTAAAACTATTTTAAAATAGCATATCAGGGGCACTTTAAAGAAACACACACCTACCCACAATGTAGACACATTTAACACTCTAACACACACACACACAGAGGAATACATAAGGTGCTCTTCCATGCACATGCTCTTGGGAAACACACACTCACGTACACACACTTACAGACACAGACACAGTTTAGTGCATGACACAAGGATAGAGAGAAGCAGAGGAGACAGACCCTGGTCCTTGAAGGCCATCAGTCCCAGATTTTTGATGCCACAGGGTCCTAAAAAACACAATTTGGTTTTCATCTTAAGAGCGCTGTTTGGATTGATTGTAGAATGATTATATTTGAGGACTTACAATGCAAAGACACTTCATGCACTAAGCCATGAGTAACATGTAAAGCACTTCAATAGCTTACACATACACAAAGTCACACAAGAGTACATGAATGCATGCATGCGTACAGTACAAAAATGCTACCAAACACACATGCCCTCCTTCATTATGCTTTGGCTTTGAATGATTTACAGTAAACAGAAAAAATCAAGGCAGCAGTTCACTACATGAAATCCTAAATTGTTGTCTTACCTCCTGAGTTATTAAATGATTGAGCTGTGCCATCGGCATCTGCTAAATGACAAGTGATCAAATCAGTAGCGCCCCAGACAAGCTGTTTAGCCACGTCAAGAGCTCTCAAGACATCAGAGAACAGACAGAAACGCACGTGTTTACCTGATCCTGCAGTGCACTTTCGAAAGGAGACACAATGCACAACTACTTTCTGATGTAAAAAAAAATAAACAATTAAATGTCAAAGAAAAATATTAAAGTGGGAATAATGTTTGATAATGTATCGACTTTGAATATTATATGAGCTCTTTAGGTTAAAATTAATTATATTAAAATTTCATAAAGATGAAAAAAATCGTTCCATGACAATAAGGCACACAATATTAAAATTATTAGTATATATTACTGGCTGTTATATTTGAAAAAACTTACACCATGAAGAAACAAAATGCATAAAGCTTATGAACATTATATAATTAAGTCAGGATCATGATGAAGTCTAAATTAGGACCTTAATTACTTACTTAAATAATAACTTACTGTCAAAAATATACTATTTAAATTCATAATTATAATATTTGGTAAAAAAAAATGATTTCTCAATATTATGACATAAATATGAGATATAGAACTATGTTGGAATTATAACCAAGTTCACATTATGACTTTAAGGGCCCTATCACTCACTCAGCAGAAATAAGGCGCAAGACGTGTTTGGCGCCATTTGTTGCTATTTAACCCCAATTTTCCTGCTTTGCTCCACGCTCCTTAAATATTAAATTCATTTGTGCCACTTTGTGGACTCATGGGTGTGCCGGTCTAGAACAGTGGTGTGTTAGGGGCATTGTTGGCACGTTGCTATTTTGAACAACCAAAATAGACTGCGCATTTGACTAGCTGAAAGCAGGTCTAAAGTCCAGCGCAGAGCGTGTTAGTTGTGTGCCCTAAACGACTAGACATTGCTTAATACATACATGATATAACACAATATACAAATATCTTTACAAGTGAAAAAGAATAAAGCGATTAAAATATAATATTTTCTACATAAATATAAAAACCACTGCTTCCATGCCTCCAAGCTTTTTTCAGTTTATTCATGACAATTTGCTTTTGTATAATGTTATTATTATTATTATTATTATTATTATTATTATTATTATTATTCATTCATTTATTCATTTTCTTGTCGGCTTAGTCCCTTTATTAATCTGGGGTCGCCACAGCGGAATTAACTATTAACTTATCCTCCACATGTTTTTACGCAGCGGATGCCCTTCCAGCTACAACCCATCTCTGGGAAACATCTATACACACACATTCACTCTCATTCACTACGGACATTTTAGTCTACCCAATTCACCTGTACCACATGTCTTTGGACTGTGGGGGAAAACGGAGCACCCGGAGGAAACCCATGCAAATGCAGGGAGAACATGCAAACTCCACACAGAAATGCCAACTAAACGTCAAACACACTCATAACTCATTAAGAGAATAAGCACAACCTTGTTAGATAATGCACCGCAGTGGAAATGTAATTTTTCTGTCCTTAAAATAACAAAAGTTGATTTAGACACACCCTTTATGCTTTTCCTCCATGCGCTTTAGATGTTGCGTCTAGATTGCAAAAATAGAGTCCTAAAAGTCACAATGAGATAAAATGTGAAAATATTAATTTCAAAATACAGAATTATGTCATAATCAAGATATTTTAAGTCTTCTAAAGTCATGATCTCAACATACTGTAGTTTGTCATAATTAAGAATTCAGTACGCCATCATTTTAGACATCAGTTTTTTATTATAATGCAGAACAAGGCTTCATTAGTAATGTAAAAAATTAACAAATAAATTAATAGTCTATTAATTCTTTAATTTTAAAATTGGCACATTGTCTTTTGTTACAATTTCATAAAAAATACATACATGACAGGATTAATGACAATTATAATAAAAAGAAGTAAAATGTCCACATGCATTATAGTAATAATGACAGGTTTCAGAGGAAAATGTGCTCAGTTGTCATGAATAAATAATGTGACAATGCTAAAATTTCCTAAAAATAGGCTTCATTTCTTTACACAAAGTACTATGTTTATGAAAAATTATCTAGATATGATTTTGTCAGATTCACACTACCACTTCAGCTTTGATTGATAACTAAAAAAGACAGAAAAAAAGAAAGAAAAAAAAGATGCCGATGGCACCACATCATCATCCCCCCGCTCGTGAGCTACTAAAATTGTGTATTATTTATTTTTATTATTATTATTATTATTATTATTATTTGTTTTGTTTTTTTTTGTCAGTGAACTGCTCCTTACAGCATCAGACATTTTGGTAGTGGCTGTCAATCAAAATATTAGCAAGAAATATTAGGTAAAGAATATGCAAAAAAAGCACATACAAAAGTATCATACATGCACAAGTGGAAAAACACATGTATACATACACACAATATATAAACACAAACACACACTCCACACACATCATAACTAAAACAAAAGACTGTACTGTATTGTATTTTAAGGCAAGAAACTGCAGGTGAATAGGGTAGAATCAATAATTTACAGTTATCACCATACCTCCATAGATGATTGATTATATTAAAGGGATAGTTCACTCAAAAATGAAATTATACTCACTTATTGACTCTCACTCAAGTCGTTCCAAACCTTTATGAGTTCTTTCTTCTGTTGAACACAAAGAATATATTTTGAAGAATGTAATGAAACCAGTAACCATTGACTTCCATAGTAGGAAAAACAAACACTATGGAAGTCAGTTGTTACTGCTTTCTTACATTTATTAACTTGTATTGTGTTCAACAGAAGAGGTTTGTTACAAGTGAACGTCGAGTAAATGATGACAACATTTTCGGTTTTGGGTTAACTATCCCTCTAAGAATTGCTAACTTTTTTAAAACTATACGTTTTATAAATTTTTGTCAATAAATATCCAATCAATTTGTATCATTTTAGTGGTTCTCAACCATGTTCCTGGAGGACAACCAACACTATAAAGTTTACATGTCTCTTTTGTCTGCCAAACCCATTATAGGTCTTTTAGTCTCAGCTAATGAGCCAATGATCTGAATCAAGTGTGTTTGGTTAAGGATACATGAAAAATGTGCAGAGTTGGTGGTTCTCCTGGAACGTGGATGAGAAACAATGCATTATTAAAAAATTATTATTTAATTTTTTTTTTTTTCTAAATTTCTGGTTTAATTTCTTTGTTAGACATATTAGAGGCAAATGCTTTTAAAGAATGGATTTTGGGAATCCATTCACCATATAATTCAATAAACAAACTTTATGAGCACAACCCTTAATACAAAGCTTCATAATATACTGTAGATATGCATACAAATTATAAATTCTGCTCTATTTATTTGCAGCTGAATTTCAGATTTATTATTCAGTACAGGTGAAGCTATGCATTTTGAGAAAAGCCTTCAAAGAAACATTTACTGAAATCTACAGACACAAAAAATGCAGTAAAAATAACACTCATAACTACATTTCATTTTCACTATGTAACACTTTATAAAAGTATAATTAATAAAAAATAAGTATATAAAACTATATACAAATTAATAATAAATTAATAAGTTAACGAAAATCTTAAACAAAAAATATTAAACAACAGTGTTTTTCCTGCAGTGTCTCGCCTTAATCATGCATTACCCAATCAAAACCTTCACTCATCCTTACTCACTCACTCCAGCTCTCACCTCCAAGTCCTCTCGGTGCGAGCGATCCCTGTCCTCGAAATCACGAGTCCTCCTGCGGGCTTCCTCAAAAGCAGCCTGGGCTAAAGCGTCCTCATGCTGTGTATAGACACACAAACAAACACAAAGCCAGGCAGCGGTCAGTCATTTCTGATATACGTGAGATGCAGTTTGACAGCACGAGATATTTTGCTGTACCTGTGCTCTCTCATCATCATATTCCAGACAACCCATGCCATCCAGACGGTGAAGATCAAGCCAGCCTCTCCAGATCACACATACTCCGTTCAGGATCATAGGAGCCTTCAGGTACACCTGCACACATACATGTACACGCATACTTGGTTAGTGTGGTTGATATGATGTACACACATAGCGCGATAACAATCAATATTCATAAAAAGAATTCTGTATTGTTGCTTTTAAAGGTTTTTGAAGGGAAAAAAGGTGGGAAAATGGTGATATCTGGTGACTGATATCTGGGTCAGTAATCAGACACTTTTTGATTTAGTGTGAATCTATTTATTAATTTTAAAACATATTTAACTAAACATTTTATTTATATTTAAAAATTGATTGAAAATTCATTCATTCATTTTCTTGTCGGCTTAGTCCCTTTATTAATCTGGCGTCGCCACAGCGGAACGAACCACCAATTTATCCAGCACATTTTTACACAGCGGATGCCCTTGCAGACGCAACCCATTTCTGGGAAACATCCACACACACATACACACACACTTTTACACTATGGACAATTTAGCCTACCCAATTCACCTGTACCGCATGTCTTTGGACTGTGGGGGAAACTGGAGCACCTGGAGAAAACCCACGCAAATGCAGGGAGAACATGCAAACTCCACACAGAAACACCAACTGAGCCGAGCTTAGGTTCGAACCAGCAACCTTCTTGCTGTGAGGCGACAGCACTACATACTGCGCCACTGCTTCAATCCTAATTCTTAAAATATAGATTTTTAATAAAAAGTGGTTGGCATATTGTAGTTCATTCATTTAACAAAATTTTATTATTATGTCTTTACAAATTAAACTAAAAATGTTTCTCCAGAATCGAAATAAATGACACAAAAAGTAATAAATAAATGTAATAAAAAAAAAATCTGCCTTATCATAATTCATTTATCATCCAGGTTTTTAATTTAATATTAAAATCACAAAAAACAATTATTATTTTAAAGAATTTTCTATTTCTTTATCTTACAAACATACTTTATTACTTATTCATCAAACAATGACAACATTTAGCAATTACAACGAACTCTCCCAAACTCTAGTCTGTCCACACAGACAACACAGGCGAAATACAGGTGAAATGTCATAACCACCTACTCCACATTTGAAAACCCCCTCTCCACATCACAGCCGGCTGGACAATGGCTAATTTGAATTGTAAAACACTTTGTAAGTTGCTCAGTCAAACGTCTGGCAGAGAATGGCTTCAAAACTGAAAATACCCCAACACACACAAAACACTGAAGTCAAAAACAATGGTTTAAAAGCACCTTTAAATTGTAAAAAGCGGTAATCTAATTCTTTGATCTAATTTCAAAAAAACATACAAAATACACTTTTAAGCAATTTATCGATTTGTGTCTGTAGATTTCAAAATACATATACTTGACATTTTGTTTTCTCAAAATGAGTTTTGTCTTTAGTACTGAGCCATAAATCTCCACTTAACCAGCACTTCCATACACTAAACTTTACGGTTTTATTCATATCTATATTCTGAAAGTGCTTACAGAGAGAAATGATAACAGAATTAGCCTGATTATACAAAAAATATATACACTCACTAGCCACTTTATTAGATTCACATTACTAGTACAGAGTTGCACCCCTTTTGCCTTCAGATCTGCCTTAATCCTTCGTGGCATAGATTCAACAAGGTACTGGAAATATTCCACAGAGATTTTGCTCCATATTGTCATGATAGCATTACGCAGTTGCTGCAGATTTGTCGACAGCACATTCATAATGCGAATCTCCTCTTCCACCACATCCCAAAGGTGCTCTATTAGAGTTATGGTGAGGCAATTTGAGTACAGTGAACTCATTGTCATGTTCAAGAAACCAGTCTGAGATGACTGGTTTCTGGCTGTTTATAGAATTTCTAATCTATAAAGTAAGTGTCTTTAAATTCACTCTGTTTAAATCTTGGATGGTATTATGTCAAAACTAAATAAATAAATAAAATAATGCTAGAAAAATTAACAAAAAATTTGAACATCAACATTGAACATCCTAGGTTCAGCTTTTTGTGCTTCAGGAGAATGCAAATGAACTCATACAAATTTATTAATAAAAAATAATTCCACATTTTCAGATCTAAACATTTCATAAAATTTGTAATACAAAAAAATGTTTGGAATCCATAATGCAATTAATAAACAGGAAGTACCGTGTTAATGATTTGTAATTTTTTTTTTTAACCCTGTTCACCTTCAGAGTCCTGCCATAACCATTACGTCCTGTTCTCCCTCAGCCAAAGACTGTATGGCAGCCTCCAGTGTTTGCTTCCTGTGATGAGAGTGTTTATTTATAGAGGCCAGCGTAGTAGAGTAAGGGTACACCGATGCAGAGACAAGCAAAGCCTGTCTGAATTTATTTATACTGACGAGTGCACATGATTGCATCCGTGTGTGAGACTCAGACCATGTATAAGGGACTATGTATAAGACAAGGTGGACAAAGAGTGAGAGAGATGTTGAGAATGTGGAGACAGGAGGGTATATGAGCGTCTGTCTGGCCCCGAGCCACAGGAATATCACATCTCTGCCACTGAGGAATCCGGCCTGAGACAAAAGCGTGCAGTCTGTCAGCCTGTGGGTGCTGTTTATTTCTGTAACTGCAGTGAAAGAGGCCAGCTATAAATGCAGACACATATTCACGTATCCTCTGCGTAACCCGCCAAAAACAACGCCAGTCGCCAGATAGGAGCGAAGTTCCAACGTGCCCAAAAACACAGGAATATTGGCTAGTGGTGTTGGATAGTCAAGTGACCGGCCAGACAAACACACTCCAGCAGAGCAGACACAACACCAGCTTTGTCTGACTTTACTGCCGTCCTTTAAATGTTAGTGTATGTGTGTGTGTATGTGTGTTGGAGTCAGTTCAGAGACTGTTTGCCCTGGTTTCATACCCACTAAATTCACCACATTGACATGAATGCTGTCTGCTATAAAAATAGCTCAGCAATTCATTTATTGAATACTAATTTTATATATTTGCGAATAAAAGGGACATTTATTAAATTCATGCTATGTACAGAAGTGTGTAATGCACATCATGGGTGCATTTTGTTTTTATATGACTTTAATTTATTCCTCTAATGCAAGAATTTTGCTTTAATGTCACATAATCCTTCAGAAATTATTTGCTCATTTGATGCTCAAGCTACATATCTCTTTATTATTTTAGAGAACTGTCTAATGTTTTTGAGAAAAGCACTATTTTTTCTCTGATAAATAGATATGAATGATATGCTGCTTGTTCAAACTACCTATTTAAAATGAGCCGTGACACAATTCTCATTATTTCTTTGGCCACTTAATTTAAAAAAAAATGTTTATGTTCAGTCAACTCATATGCTTAAAAATGGCTCACTTAGTTTATTTAGGACAGGGGTGTTCAAACTCAGTCCAGGAGGGCCGCTGTCCTGGAGAGTTTATCTCCAACTTGCTTTAACACACCTGTCAGGAAGTTTCTAGTTTATCTAGTAAGGGCTTGATTAGCTGGTTCATGTGTGTTTGATTAGGGTTGGAGCTAAACTCTCCAGAACACTGGCCCTTCCAGGACCGGGTTTGGTCATCCCTGATTTAGGACATAGGTCTCAAACTCTTTTTATGGAGGGCTGCAGCTCTGCACAGTTTTGCTCCAAACTTATTCTAAAGCAGGTCACACACCATAACGCTGCTCGCAGATGTGCATCGCCATTCATTTCAGAATCCTAAACATAGGGTTTTATCAGGGTATACACACCAGCGATGCAAGTCGGCGGCTGTCCGCGGCGCCCAGCCACGACTCAGGACACTGTTCATACTTCTGCCACATCACAGAGCATTTTTAACAGCATGCAAATGTGCGCGTCTGGTGTGCGACACTTCCAACTGTTGAACGGCGCATCCAGTGTGTAACGCCCTTAACACAGCTGATACAAATAATCAAGGTGTTCCAGAGTAGTCCTAAACACCTTGATTAGTTGGATCACCTGTGTCTGATACAGGCTGGAGAAAAACTGTGCAGAGCTGCAGCCCTCCAGAAATGGAGTTTGAGACCAATGATTTAGGATAACTTAAAAATGTGCAACACATGATAGACATATGACGTCTTATCAGACCCTTGAGTTAAAGTTAAATGAAAATACAAATGTATTTAAACTTTTATTTGATAAAATCATGTTGGACCAACTCAATTGCATTTGTGTGTATATTTTTATACACAAAAATGCTAGGTTGTTTCAACCCAAATTTGGCTAAAACATGGCCTTACAACTTAAAAAATTACTTTGGCCATATTCTACCTAAATCTGAGCTGAAACAATTTGCAGTATGGTATTTTATTGATAAATGTATGCATGCTTGCTGAATAATTTGGTATTTTTAGTCTAACAAAAGTTTAAACTACTTTTCCTCTGAAATTACAAAGTAAAAACCTAATATCATTGAATTTTTAAGATTGAAGAAGACTTTCAAATAAAACACTATTTTATTAAACATAACTATTTAATAACATGTTACCATGTATTTGTGTACATAACATATGAATTTATATTGAAAATCAATAGCATAAATAAACACACTTTAAAATTAAATAGGAGAAGAATGCACATGAAAATAAACTTGCCAATTTAAAACATCTCTGGAAACTATACAAGACAATTTGTGCCAAAATCTGTACATCGAAGATTGTTAAATGCCAGTTTAAATGACATATTATTTGTTTTCCATGGACTTGGCAAAGTCAAAAATATAATCTATGGGTGATAATTATAGATTTTTTTGTTCATGCCAAAAATCTTTAAAATATTATGCAAAAATCATGTTCTATGAAGATTTTTGAATACATTTTCGACTATAAATATATAAAAACTACATTTGAAAAAAATTATTAGTGAAATGCCTTGCTAAACATTACATTTTAAAGCAAATGTTCACAATATTTCGATGAATAATTTTTAAATTTTTTTATTTACTTTTGTGACACTTTTATACTTTTATGTTCCAGTGGAACAATTTTGGTAAAATGGGAATAAAAAAAAAACAATAGGTTAAGGAAATATGTTTTTTTTACTT